TACAAAATAAATAGGAGAGGTCCGAGTACCGTGCCTTGTGGCACTCTGCTGCTTACTGCTGTCAAAGAGGAGAGTTTCGAGTTGATCCTAACCCTCTGCCTCCTATCTATGAGGAATTCCCTGAGCCAGTTTAGTAAGCTACCTTTGATATCAAGACTTTCCAGCTTCATGAGTAGTCTTTTGTGGGGTACTTTATCAAAGGCTTTGCTGAAGTCCATGAAGACGGCGTCAACGGGTCTTCTGTTGTCCCTGGAGTTGACCCAGCCTTCTCTTGCAGTGAGAAGATTTCACAGGCATGAGAGGTTCTTTCGGAATCCATGCTGTGCTCTACATAATAAGGTTCTAGATATGCCATGATGTTTTTTTGATGATTATTTCCAGTGTCTTGATTAAAGTGCTGGTGAGACTGATGGGCCTGTAATTTGAAGGGCTTTGTCTTGATCCTCCTTTGTGGATGGGGGTTACTATGGCGTCTTTCCAGTCACGTAGTAACACTCCATTTAGGAGAGAAAGCTTGAAGATCTTAGTCAAAGGGCCGGCTATGTGGGCTGATAGCTCCTTGAGAAGCCTTGGATGAAGATTATCAGGACTCATTGATTTCCATGCATCTAGTTTCCTTAGGCAGTTGAGCACGATGTCTTGGTCGATGTCAACGGAATCTATCCCATGTTCTTCTAATGCAGCCAGAGCTGGTCCTATAGGCAGTGACGACCCCTGAGTGAAGACTTGAGAGAAGTAGTTTGCCATTGCTTCTGCTTTTTCTTGATCTTCTTCGATTGTATCATTGTCAATACTCAGGTTTGGGACACCATTGGATGTCTTATTCCTGAAGTTCATGTACTAGAAAATTTTCTTAGGTTGTGCCTTTGCATTTTAAGCCAGGTGTGCTTCGAACTTCATCCTTGATTGGTGGATTTCTGCAATAGCTTTATTTATAGCAGTGTTATATAATTGCCTGGTCTCAGAAGTCTCAAGTGTGGCAAACAAGTTCCAACATTTGTGTTTACGTCTGAGTAACTTGCAAATCTCTCGGTTTATCCAAGGAGGGCAATGAATCCGACCCTTTGGGACAGACCAAGGGATTAAGAATAACATCTCAAGCCTACAGTAACGGTGAAGCAAAACTCGGAGATTCTGAGCCAGTGCTTAATTTCTACAGTGGGTGAATTCCGAAATGGTTCTGTTGTTCACACAAAATAGAACTCTGTCAGTACACGGGCTGACACAGGGGCATCGTCCTCTGTTGTCTTCACGGGATTTTAGAGCAATTAAGGCAGGCCCTAGGCCTCTCGACAGAGAGCTAAAGCTAATCATAGAAAGTGCAGCCCTATCAAGATAACTAACACCGTTAATCTACCCGTTGTCACCCAGGAATTCACTTGCACTCATCCCTTTGTTGTTTGTGGTGTCAGAAGACGGGACACAATATTAAGTTTTGACCTTTTGACAACTAAAATAGCTGTAACTGACCCAGAGCGTCTGGGTGTGCATGACCTCTCACTTAGATGATCTGATAGCCACAATCATTAGACTAACACTTCCAATATCCAATATCCTGATTACGAGCTAGTATAAACCAGTGATTTCTTTGAGCTCGCTTCTTGATTTTATGGTAGAGGTTCCAGATCTTCCGTGAACTTATGCGTAGTAAATCCCGCCACTCGACTGCTTTAGCTCTGGTAGACTCCAGGAGGAGTGATGCGAGGATTGGTCAAAATTGTGGTTTGTAGTGTGCAGTATGTTAGGACTCAGCTGCTGCCGTGAATGGAGTTTGACCTAACACCCGTTGGTCATTCGGTATAGTCATAAAAGTAGAGTAATAATAATAATAATGATAATAATAGGTTGTAGTGTAGATAATATAGGTTGAGATAAGTGAAATAATAAAGAAAGAAAGAAAAGATCGAGTAGTCGGTACAGTGGGAGAAGACAGGACGGGTCGTGGGGATTTAGCTTGTATGCTTATCCATTGACAATGTGGTTTCAAATTTTAAGAGGGTAAGCCATTGAGACACAAACCATGCATTTCTGCATGATTGTCCAGCTTCCGCTTAAAAGTCTCCACAGATGGAGCTGTAGTTACGGCCGCCGGTAAAGCGTTCCAGAGACGGCAAACTCGAAGCGAGAAGAAATGTGAACGCACTCGAGTCCTTGGTCTCTGGTGTGCTATCCTTAGCGGGTTACCTCGTGGAAGCCTATAATCACTTAATGGCAGGATGCTCTTATTAGGATGGGCCTGGTCATTTAGGATCTTATAGACGGTGATGAGGTCTCCCCTGTGACTACGGTAACTAAGTGTGAAAAGACTTAATTTCTTCAGTCTCTCCTCATATGATTTGTTGCGGAGGCCGATCACCCATTTTGTCGCTCGTCTCTGGACACTTTCTAGCATGTTAGCATCCCTTTTGAGTAGCGGAGGAGCAATGATATTATGCACCTCAAGGAGTGGCCTCACGTATGTCGTGTACAACGTTAGGAATAGTTCAGGAGTAAGAGCTCCCAGTTGCCTATGCATAAAGTGTAAAGTGCCGTAAGCTTTGGCGACGTCCCTCGTGTAATTTACACTGGTGTCTAGCTTTTCTGTTAAAATAAGGCCTAGATCGCGTTCTGATGGCACACAACTCAAGTTCTGGCCACCAAGGGTGTAATTTACACTCTGTGACCTGCCGGAATGAAGTTGCACTACTTTGCACTTCTTTAAGTTGAAAGGCATTCCGTTAGCCAGAGCCCAGTCCCCCAGCGTTTGCAGGTCAGCCTGCAATCTGTCGGAGTCTTCCGATGAGTTTATTGCTCTCCAAATCTTTACGTCGTCAGCGTAAAGAAGCGCAGAGCAATTCAGTTGACAGGGCAAGTCATTGATAAAAATCAAAAACATCAACGGCCCTAAGATAGAACCCTGAGGAACCCCTGATGCCGAGGTGTGCCAGGATGATCGGATGTGGTTGACTTTGGTGCAGAATTCTCTCTCGCCTAAATAATCTTCCAGCCATGCGAGAAGTGCTCCAGAAACACCCGCTTTGCTTATTTTGTGAAGGAGCAGACCATGGTG